AGAGACAGGGTTTCACCATGTTGACCAGGATGGTCTCGATCTCTTGACCTCGTGATCCACCCGCCTCGGCCTCCCAAAGTGCTGGGATTACAGGCTTGAGCCACCGCGCCCGGCCGTGTCTGACTAATTTTTGTATTTTTATTAGAGACGAGGTTTCACCACGTTGGCCAGTCTGGTCTTGAACTCCTGACCTTAAGTCATCTGCCTGCCTTGGCCTTCCAAAGTGCTGGAATTACAGGTGTGAGCCACCACGACCGATATACCAGTCTTCTCTAATAGCAGAAACATCAGGAGAAAACTGGCCCTTTTTGTTTGTAATAAGAGGATATGAAGAGACACCTCTATTAGCTTTTCTCAGTGGAAGGAAGCTTTCTGCTGCTTGATGAAATGTTGACTGAGGTCTTGCAACTTGCTTTGTTTGGCAGTAAGGGCTAAACAAAAGAACTTAAAGGTTTTGTTCCTTTATTAGAAATCTATTGGCCCCGCGTGGTTGCTAACGCCTGTAATTCCAACACTGGGAGGCCGAGGCGGGTGGATCACAAGGTCAAGAGATCGAGCCTATCCTGACCAACAGGTTGAAACCCTGTCTGTACTAAAAATAAAAAAATTAGCCGGGCGTGGTGGTGCGCGCTTGTAGTCCCAGTTACTCGGGAGGCTGAGGCGGAAGAATCACTTGAACCAGGAGGCGGAGGTTGCAGTGAGCCGAGATTGCGCCCTGCACTCCAGCCTGATGTCAGAGCGAGACTACGTCTAAAAAAAAAAAAAAAAAAAAATCTGTCATAGTTACCACATGGACATTCTGCAATTTCATGTACTTCCTTTCAACCCTTGACTTTAATGACTTATCTGTATCCCTTGAGTAGCTGCACTTTCCTCCTTTTTCGTGATCTCTCTAACTGCCACACCCTCCCTGCCTTTTAGATTATGTTTTCCTTCTTCCTTTTAGAGTTTATCAGGATATCAGGATATCAGCCTGCTGGTGATGTTTCAGGGACCATTGGAGAGAGTGGAATTCGATGGGAAAAACATCACAAATGCAAATACTATCATTTAAAATTTTTCTCTCATATTTGTTGCATTGCCACTTCATTTGTGTCTTTTTAATTGAAAATCAAAATATAACTCCTTTTGGCAGTGTTTTAATATTAATTACCTTTAGGAATAGGAGGGGTAGATTATTCAGAGCTCTCTGACAGCTGGTATTTGCTGATGCCAGGAAGAGGAAACCAGACTTTTTAATCTTCATTTTCTTTGTCATACTAGAAAGTTTTGTTCTCTTTCCAGGTTCACAGGCCTGCCTCCCAACCTTTGAGGACAAAGGGTACATGCTCACTTGTTCTTGATTTCACAGTGATGTACCCTATACAGTGTCATTTGGACCAAAACAGATATGGGAAAGGTAGAAAGTAGAGGAAAACACTTTGAACAGACAGAAAGATTTTCTGTTAAATTATGTTCTTCTCCATCATATTCACATCTAACACCAGCATCTAACATGTTCACTCTCTACCTAGCCCAGTTTTCTGGAGCTCTAAGAATAAAATCTCTACATTTCAAAGTTAACGTAATTTGGTCTCCGCTTCTGAGAAAAAGGAAGATGCCTCAAGCATTGCCTTTGGTGGGCATGTGGGAAACTTCAATATAAATAATCCGATCTTCACCTTTGTGTCCCTAGGTCCTAGCCCTAATGGCTGCCATAGAGTAGAACTGCAATAAAATTTGTTAAATAAATGACCAGCTATTGAAAAGCTTTCCAGAAACAGGGGAACACAAACTTCTACAAGAAACGAAAGGCATGCTGGCATTAGATTGATCATCAGCGACAATGGAATAAAAACGGTGGAATAATAGCTTCAAAGTTTGGGAGGGGAAATGATTTTCAACTTGAGACACCTCTACCCAGTCAAATTACATGTGAGGCCAAAATAAAGACATTGTTACACATGCAAAGACTCAGAAAGCTTACCTTTCAGACACCTTTTCTTGAGGAGTCATTAGAGCATATACTCCAGTAAAACAGCAAAGTACCACGAGGAAGCCATGGGATTCAGGCTACAGCAGATGTGACCCAGAATGTCAGTTTTGTGGGTTACTAAGCCACCAGTTCATATCTGAGCAAGGATGGGGGATCCAGGAAACAAAGGTATTTCATGGAACACAGTTGAAAGAACTTGAAGATATACTTCAGGCAAAGAAAAATAAGAAAAGCACCTAGAAATTTTATTTTCTGAAAGACTCTACAAGAAAATCATAATACAAACATGAATTAAGTTAAACTGAGTCATCAATGAGCTTTCAAAAGAAAAATATTCCAAGCAATAGAATGGGTAAGATGGCACAGATTTCTTCTTTCAACAAAACACTGGGCAAAGCCACAACAAAGTAAACCATGATTTTGAGAAACTGAGCGGCACAGGGTTGAGACATTGTGATTATACTGAGGAACATCAATCACAATATACTACTTGGCTCTGCTGTGGACCAACATTTTCATAATGTTAATGCTGCTTATTGGTTATTGTCTATTACAACCAATTTATAGAAGACTTAGGTAGAGCACGGGGGCTCATGCCGTAATCCCAGCCGAGGCAGGCAGATCACAAGGTCAAGAGATCAAGACCATCCTGACCAACATGGAGAAATCCTGTCTCTACGAAAAATACAAAAATTAGCTGAGCATGATGGCATGCACCTGTAGTCCCAGGGAGGCTGAGGCAGGAGAATTGCTTGAACCTGGGAGGCAGAGGATGCAGTGAACCGAGTTCACGCCAATGAAATGCAGCCTGGCGAAAGAGCAAGACTCCATCAAAAAAAAAAAAAAAAAAAAGACAATTATAGTTATGGAAGGTAATTTAAATGTTATCTGTCATGGAAATGTGAAAGAGTATACAGCTTTGAAAAGTTTGGAGGTAGAGGAGTTTGAGGCTGCTGTGAGCTATGATTGCACCAGATGTACTCCAGCCTGGGCAACAGAAGGAGGCCTCATTTCTAAAAAAGAAGTTTGGAGGTAGAAGCAGAGGTGGGGAGTTCAAGAGAAGTA